CTCCCCTTCTTTACACCTGCAGGACAGAGGCTGTGATTTTCCCCTGACCCCAGCCACGGCTGTCCCAAGGAATTGCAGGGCTGCCAGAAAGCTGCAGATTCAGAGAGACAAAGACTACTTTCCCCAGAAACGAGGGAAAAATTGCTGCATCTGCAAAGATTTCCCAGGCCCTGTCCCCTCCTGTGCACATCTATCTGGAGTGACACCTTCCTTCAAGCACCCTTCATTTCATTCACACTCCCGCAACTATTTGCATTAAGGTGACCCTGGCTGCAGTGGGGCTGGCCGGGCAGGGTCCGGGGGGCCGCAGATGCCCCACTGGCCCCAGGGCATGCTCCGGGTTTCTTCCCCAACCCATGGAGCGAGGCCGGAGATGCAAACGGCACTGGGCTGAATGGGAAGCCGCCCTGTGGAGACCTCCGTAACGAGGCAGCCCCAGGCTCAGCCCCTTCGGTGTGCATTAAAAGGAGATGTCAAAGGCAATAAGGGGAGCTTTTGGCAAGCAGAGGGTCGAGGAGTTTGCCCTGTGTTTGTAGACACAGAGCCCCAGCTCAGGGGCACAAGGGGCACCTGGGAGCAGCAGGATGGTGGCAGACGGAGGTAGGAGATGCCCATCGCTGACACCCTCACGTGGAAACCCAGGACCTGGGCTCGACCCAGCCCCTCGGCACCCTGTGAGCGCAGAAGTGACAGGAGGGATGGCTGCTGACCGGAGGCCAACGTTGAGTGGTTTGGGATCCGTGAGGTGAGCAGGGACCGCGTTCCCGCAGCTGTCCCGGCTACCGCAGCACCTTCAGCTCCCTGCCTCTGCACCCTCCCGTCCCGCATACTGCTGCTCCCCACCGCGCTGACGTCCCAGCCTGAACCGTGCCCACTGGGACACGCAGAAGGGCTGCGACAGCCAAGGGACCCATCCGAGCATTAAGGGTTTCAGGAGCAGAGCCATGCACAGCTGACTCTGTTCCCCACAGCCACACAAATCCCAACCGGGCTTTAACACACCAAAATCCCGCAGGTCTGCCCGGGACCTGCATCCAGCTGTTTTCCAGCCTTCAAGCCCCAGCACTGCTGCCCTCTCACCGGCACCGGGAACTGGGGCAGGAACCAGGGGCTGATTCCCTTCACACTCAACCACCTCTGCTCGCGACCGCGAGATCCCGAGCAGTGGCAGCTTTACAAGTCCCACAGCATTTTGCTGGCAGGTTGTGTTACCTGGCAACCTGCAGTGGGGAGAGGAGGGAAACTCTCAGACAGCGGCACCAGCAACACTCCAAACTGGAGTTTGGGTCCCCCCAGATCCTCCCAGCACAGCAGCCCTGCAGCTGCATGCCCAGCTCCCGGCACGGGGCCCTGCAGATGCCTCTGCCACACCATGGCCATGGCCCTCATGGCTCCGGGGGTTTCTGCTGTCCATTGCATGGGCTCGGAGTCCTGGATCTTCTTGCCAAGGCTTTCAGGCAGCTGCAGGACACCCCCCTGCCTCAGTTCTTGATGTCCCCCGGTGACATCCATCAGGCTGGAGGTCCCAATGTCTCCAAATCACTCCTTCCTAAGGAGAGCAGAAGCTGCGAGGCTGGGATGTGCTCGGGATGAGTAGAGCTTCACTTGCAAACCTGCTCTGGAGCTGGGGCTGGAGCTTGGGAGGGAGCCCCAGGCAGGAACCGAGGCACTGTTGCCTCCCTGGTGCAAAGCTGAGCCGGGCTCAGCTGCTCAGGCAGTATCTCTATGCCCTGCGCTGGCTCAGGCAGTATCTCTATGCCCTGCGCTGGCTCAGGCAGTATCTCTATGCCCTGCGCTGGCTCAGGCAGTATCTCTATGCTTGGCCACCGTACTCTGTGGGGGCCGAGCCTTCGGTGCCCCAGCCACGCCATGTGAGCAGCCTGTGGGCTGCCTTGCACCCTGGGGCTGTGGGTCCCTGCAGCCCCAGTGCCCATCATCCCCTCACCAAGCGTCCCCAAGCCTCCTCAGCCTGCCGGACAAGAGAGCGGCTGTGCTGGGCGTGGGAGACAGCAGCTCCGGCACATGCAGCCTGCGGAGAGGGAAGGATGTGAGATGGCTTGTCCCGGGGGCAGCTGGAGCAGAGCCGGAGGTGGGCTGGCCCCTGGGGAGCATGGACGGAGAGCGGTAGCGGGAGAGGCTGAGCTCTGCTGTGGGAGATGCTCTTCAAGGAGGAGGTGCCCTTTGCTCCTGCCAGCTCGCCAGGCAAGCTCTGTGCTGTGGGATGGTGGGCAGCGATCACAGGCAGCCCTGGGTGCTCTCCCCCTGAGCCGTGCCCCAAGCCAGGTACGAACCAGGACCCCGGTTGTGCTTCTGAGGCAGGTGGACACTGGTTTGCATTGCCCAGGCTCAGCTGCTGGGACAAACTTTAGCCCAGCTGCCCCCTACCTTACTGCAGGGGTCCACTCAGCCCCAAAGGAGCCCCAGGGCAGCAAGGGCCAGTCCCCCGCCCCCCCAAGCCATTGCTTGCTCCAGAGCAGCTCAAGCAGCTCATTTTGCATCTCAGCCGCTCGCCCTGCGCTGCTCCACTGCCCCTCTCCCTCTCCGCCCTCCTTGCCTGTCCAGCTCTGCTGCTGCTCAGCTTTGCACAGGGCTGCAGCCCCCATCCCTGCTCACCCTGGGGCAGGGGCTGTACCCCAGCCGCCCCCC